AATCAAACGTGATTTAAAATCACTAAACCAATAGTTTTGTATAAAAATCTCTTCCTAAAATCGCCTCCCACCGAGTCTAGGGCTCAAAAATATGATAAATAAAGCTAAGTCTCGAATTTCAACCTTTTGTTCAGCTACAGATATCGCAAATGCGACCTGGGGTTCGCAAGTCCTCGAAAATGCAGAAAACATATCGCAAATGCAGCGCCTGCTGAACACAGGGGATGTTTCAAATGCGACATGACTTCGCATTTGCGAAGTGAGGCCCCTTCGGAAAAGCGGCCAAATGGTCGCAAAAGAGACCTACCCAGCCAAAGTCCAACCTTCGCAAATTGCGATCATGGCATCATATTTGTGATACATGCACCCTTGCCTTCTTCGCAATTGTGATGCTGGTGCTCACAATTGCGACAACTGCAATACCAACACACCAACAACCTGAAACAAGTCTAAACCAATCTGAAACACGTCTGAAACTCATCCGAGCCCCCGGTCTCCACACCATATATCCACACAAGTCTAAAAATATTATACGAACTTGCTCGCGAGCTCAAAATACTAAATAATATCCAGAACCACAAATCAAATACCAAAACACATAGAAACTTCAAAGAAACTCAAGAATCGCTAAAATCACAACCAAGTGTCCGATTCCTACCAAACCAACTCGAAATGACACCAAACTTTGCAGACAAGTTCCAGATGACAAAACGGACCTATTTCAAGTCCTGAAACCAAAATTCGAATATGATATCAACAAAGTCAACCTTTGGTCAAATATAGGAAAGTTCTAAATCTTCAAATTGATAACTTTCGACAAAATAAGTCAAATCAACATAGGAACCTCCGAATCCGATTTCGAGCGTACGACTAAGTCCAAAATTATGAACCTATTGGAACCCACTGTTCTAGGAACGTTCTCACAAAAGTCAAACCTCGATTAATATTTCCAACTTAAGCCTCCAAACTAAGAACCATTTGATCCAAATCAATCCAAAATCTCTCCCAAACGAAATCAACTATCCCCGCAAGTGATAAAATCATAAACATACATACGGGGAGCGTTAAAAAGGAAAATGGTGCTCAGATATGCAAAATGGTCGGTCGGATAGTTACAGTCATAGGTGAAATAACACTAACTGTTTTATCTCTTTTTAATTATTATTTTTTGTTAAGAAGAAGATATACCGAGCATCAAAGTTAATATCTTCTTGTCATAATTCAAGTGACCTAGTAAATGTACGATAGATAGAACCCAACCCAGCAAGAACAAATTCGACTAAGTCGTCATTAGGAACTTGGTGTTGCAGTGCAACTAGTTTATCAGCAATTCGTCCTTTGCCTTTTGAACATATGAGTCAATACTTGCACGATGCAAAGTATGTAACTGCATCTTTAGTTCACGAATCAAAGGATTGGATCCTAAAGCATTTGCAGCAACAAGCTTCTCCCAAGCTTCACGAGCAATTGATGTTCCAACTAGTTGCGACAAGAAGCTCTCTAAGATAGATGCAACTATCCAACTAAGCACAAGTTGATCCTTTCGTACCCACGCTTTATACTCGGGGTTTAAATGATTCTCAGCAAGAAACTGTGTGGGAGTGAGCTCACTACCATCAATATGATGGTTAACACCACATCCACACATCATAGGCATAAATAGTGTCTTCTATAATAAAAAAAATATATGAAGTTAACTTCACTGGCAATTGATGGACAAGGTTTGGAGAGGGCATGGAAACTGGTATGAAAACTTGAGTGTGCCGATGGAAAGGCTGGTGATGACTTATCGTCTACCACAATCAGACGAACTAGACAAAGGAAGTCGTTTTTCTTTTGTTGCTTATGCTAAAATGATGATAACGAAGGAAGATGCTTCCTTACATTATGAAAAAGGCCTTGGGTTGATTAAACCTCTTAGGGCTCCGCTACCATAGGAAGTTCTGTTATTCGATGATCAAACAATAAGTTACAGCGTATAGATACACAATAATTTAGAGTAAATATGATTTCTAACCCTATAGAGCTATGTTGTCAATAAACTTCCATCCGAGAGTTTAAGGGTGATTATGAGTCATGCTTTACATGTGTAACATATGTAATCCATATATAATATGTATAATCATGTATAACTAATGCATAATTTATGTATACCGATTAAAAAATAAATAATAATTTCTATCGTCTATTTGTATAAAGATCCAAAAATATTTGTTCAACATGAAGGCTCAAAAGTACCACTGAGTGGGAAGACAACAGAACTCGCCTAAGCGACCTCACCTCCCCTTATTTGAGAAATCTATTATGTATAACCGTTCTTCAAAATAATAGCCGAAAAATATATATATTTTTCATATATTAATATATAATATACATATTTTTTAAATAATTAGTATATATTTTACATATTTAGTTAGTGACGGTAATTAGTTTCAGTCGAGCGGCCAAATATGCTAAAAGCCCAATTTTAGTGTTTAATTCTTTCTTGTCATACTGCTCTCGTTCTCCATAATAGAACACCTTCATTGCTTTTCTCCTATGTTAGATTTTCTTAACTCTTAATCAAGGATAGCTTAGTAGTATGATGAAATGAATAAAAAATAAAAAATAAAAAATCATGTACAATGTTCAAACTCTAGGGAAACAAAAATGGAAAATGGCCAAAACTGTCCCAAAACTATTCGATTTGATAGATAAATGACCTCCATCCTATTGCGTCAAAATACCCTCACTTTTATATTAGTGGCTCAATTATGCCCTTATTACTAACATGCTTATCTAAAAGAAATAGAAAAACTTAATGATTATCCATGTGTTACCATTCTATTAACTTAAATATAAACCCTTGCTAAATTAAAAAGAAAAAAATCACCATAAACCTAGGTTTTGATTGATCCGTCCTGATTTTAAATCCTATTAATCCAAACCCGATTTTAAAAGACAATGTAACTTCTTCTTCATCTTTTAGATTTTGCAAATGGAAGAATTTGCGCCACTACAACAAGAAAAGTAATAATTTAAGCAAGAAAATGCTGAGTTTGAGAATGAAATGAAATGGGTATGAGAATAAAATTCGGGATCTTGACTTAGGAAGTTATTCATTAAATAAAATCAAATGGGTATAAAATAGGTATGAGAACAAAATTCATTATCTCCTTCCTGATTCAATTTAATGGAGAAGAAAGAGGGAGTAGGCAATGGGGCATGTCCTTTTTTCGGGCGAATGTGAAGAAACCTTAATGGGTATTTTTTAAAAAAATTTGGTAAAGATTTAAATTTAGATCAATGGGACGGTAATACGTGGATATTAATTAAAAAAATTCAAATAAGTCCGTTAGTTAATAAGGGCAAAAGTGAGCCACTAAGATAACGGTAAGGGCATTTTTAGCTCACTAGGTGGACGAAAGATATTCTTGTACCAAATCAATTAGTTTAGGGGTAGTTTTGGCCATTTTTCGAAATAAAAATGGTTAGGTTGATTTTGTCCATTTTTCTAAACTGCTATAATTATTTCTGGGTAATGATCTCAAAGTAAAGCTACTGTTACGAAATTTTGTTTTAGTCTATATTTTCGGACACAATATTTTATTGGAGAAGATAATGACTTATTCGAAAGAAAAACCACACGAGCCTAATAAAAACAAATATATCGACTATATAATAGAATGAGTAATAAGATTTAAATTGTATTTTTTTTCAAGTAAAATAGTTATCCAAATACACATTTTTTTTAAAATTTAACTTTCAAATACTTTTTTTTTGTCAAATTCGATATTTTTTTATGTCCAAACGCCTGTATTTGGTATTCAAAAAAGAAAAATAATTGAGAAAAGGGACAGTGAAATCTTTATCCAAATGTCATAATCACACCTCGTCCAAACATAATGACAGCACCAGTTAATTATTGTTACAGTACGTAATCATCAATGCCAGTAATCTGATTGGGATATTTAATTCGTTTCCTTCAAATACCGCCACGTGTCAACTCACAACCGACCAAGAGACGTAAGGATATACATGTCATTTTGAAAACTCTAGAAAAGTCACTGTTCACCCCCAAACTTGCAAAGTACACAATTTTCAGTCAAACAAAAATCTCTAAAAAACCATTTTCACCCTCTTCTCCATCTCAAATTTCTTCCTTTTTTGTTCTTTCTTTCTTTCTTTCTTCTTCACATAAATTCGTCAACCCCTTTTCTCCCGCTTATTCTTATCTTACAAAAACCTCTATGATATAAAAGAAAATATAAAAACACCTTTTCAACCTTTTTATAATTTTCCTACATACAAACCCTATTTTTCTCCCTCCCTTTCTCGTGATCTTTTTCTGATTTCAAATTATTCAACCATCTTTTTTTCTTTTTTTCTTCTTTTTATTTTCTCCGGTTATATTCATCGGAGAAACGGCCTACGTGGTGGTACCGGCGGTTGATGTTAACGTGAGCAGGGTGCGCGTGGTACAAGAGCTTGATCATTTAGAATTCGAAACTTGTTTTGGTGGTGATTTTTAACCATTCAAATCATCTGAGCCGTTCATGTGGACAAAAAAACTGTTCTCAGTCGTACACGTGTTCGGACAAAAACGATGGTGGTGGGGTCAGGAAAAAGGAGGTGGGGTACGTGGGAGGAACTAATCCTAGGTGGCGCTGTTCTCCGGCATGGGACACAAGATTGGAACGTCGTCGCTTCGGAGCTTCGTTCTCGTACCATCTGTCCTTACTATTTCACCCCTGAGGTTCACATTAATTTACGTTAAGTGACATTCTTATTATTAACGACAAATATCCTTTTATTTGTCTTGTTTGGTCTAATCTTCTCTGTTTTTAATTTAACGTACGTAGTACCTGATTTTTCGTATCGTTAGAATCATTGTTCTTCTGTCGGGTGTTTTTTTTTTTTTTTTATAGTTTT